TGCATTTAATATTAACTGTTTCCCTTCTATTCTGCTGAGTGCAATATTTATACTTGGATCATCCATATTTAAGGATTCTTTAGCCATTTTATCTACCTCTTCATTACCTTGAATTCCCACATGTGCAGGTACCCATATAAACCGAGTAACTATCCCTATCTTTTTAATACTATATAGTGTAATCATGATTTCCGTTAAAATGTCTTTTCTATTTGATTGCCATGATTGTAAACTCATAAGAGCTGCCATTGAGTCAGAGCATATTATTACTTTATCCGGTCTTACTTCATATACCCACTCTAATGCCATAAGGATAGCTACCATCTCTGCTGTATATACAGAAGTACCATCCGTAATTCTTCCAGCCTTCCTAACCTGAAATTCTGGAATGCAAAATGCAGCACCTGTCCTTCCAGTTTCTATGTTCTTTGATCCATCTGTGTAAATTTGGAGAAATGAATAATGCATACTTTTTATATAGTCTTTGACATATGCTTTTAAATTAAACCCCTCCCCCATTCCCTTAATTTCTTTATGTACATTTAAGTCAACTTCCGGTTGTTCTAATAACCAAGGTGCTATTGGAGGAGTTACTATTACCGATGCAAATTTATTTGATTCTATTCCAGTTTCATTGATCAATTTCTTAATTTTCCATGCAAATCCTTTACCTGGTTTATTTACTGTTTCCCAACTTTCATTAAGTACTTCTCTTACAGGATGATCCTCTCTTTGGCCCTGAAGATTAATCCAATATGCCATGGCTAGTTTTTCTCTTCTTAAATGTAGAGGCATTTCTGAGGACTCCACCTGTATTGCTGCAATTGGTGTCGTCTTAACTGCTCCTAGAACCAATCTTAGTGCTTTAGCTTGCATAATATCTAGTTTCTTTAATAACGTTGCAGATGCAGATTCATACACACACAATACATCCATAATCGATGATCTCATGAGTCCAATATATATACACTTTAATGATTGCTTATCGGCACCCCAATCTTGTCCTGCAACCCCTCTCATTAAATTTAATATTTTACTACATTTCTTTATAATATAATCTATGTGGACTTTCCAAGTTAATTTATCATCAAACCCCATTCCCAAATATTTAAAATTAGATACTTTTTCTAATGTAGACCCATAAAGTTTAAGCTGCTTATTTTCTCTAATTTTCCTCCTGGTAAATATCTGGTAATATGTTTTGGATAATGAAAATGTGAACCACCATTCTAAAGACCACCTTTCTACTATCTCTATTGCTTCTTGAATTCTATCCAAATTAAAAGATACATTTCTTCCTCTTTTCCACATTATTCCATCATCAGCACATAAAGCTGTATTAATTCCTGGCGGCACTTCTTCAAATACATCAGTAATCATAATGTTAAATAATAAAGGGCTTATCACACTCCCTTGAGGTGTCCCATTCTCCACACTCACTATCTGTGACAATTCATTTCCCACCCGAACCTGAATTGTTCTATCTAATAAAAAACTTAAAACCCAGTTATAAATTCTTCCTTCAATTCCAGTTTTCCCAATTTTAGTAGTAAACCTTCTTTCCACATAGGCCTGTCACGGACAACTTTTTGTTGTGCGATATATTGCCCCAGAAATAATTGCAATAAGCAATATTATTGTCATTTTAAAGACCATTTTATGCCACTGAATATATAATCATAATGTAACAACATAATAATGCAAGAAGGCCTACACACAACCTTTAAATTTTTAAGAATATTTAGATCATGGAAATTAAGTATCAAAATATTAGATACCTTAAAAACTTGAATAAATAGTAAATAAACATTTTCTAACAAAGAGTGCAAAGTAACAAGTAGAAGAAAAAAAAAAATGCACAAATAACTTGTATTGAGATTTTTCCATCTACAGATTTTTCCCTGACCTTCTTTTCTCTGTAAATGAAGGGTGCACACTATTGCTGAAAAACACAATCACTACTTAGCAGTCAGATGTCCGTATGCACAAAGGCACAGATCCCTAAACAAGATCATATCTGCAGATGAAACATTTTTTGTAGAAGCATTTTTTTAAATTTGAACTTGCACCTCATGACTAATCTACGTTATGTACAAGAAGCTGCAAAAGACACAGGCGCAAGTGGAAATGTACAAAACATGGTGACATTAATTTTAAGTAAATATAATGTGCGATATATTGCGTCACCAAAAATGATTGAGGTAATGTACATATATTGCGTGATAAGTCGATATATTGATTATTGCGAATCGGAATATTCCTAGTTTTATACATCCCAATCATCTTCTTTAACATACCCCAAACCTCACCCAATTCAGTTTCTTTACCTATCGAAGAACAATACTCTTTTAGGAGTTTTTAACAAAATCCTTTTAGGATTCTAAACGCTTTATTTCTATTTTTAATAGCATTAGAACATTCTTCATTCCACCATGGAACAACTTTATCCCTTCGGTTTCCTTTTGCTTTTGAAATGGATTCTTCTGCTGCTCTGGTCTGAAAGGATCATGGGAGATGTAGTTTAAATCAAAGGACAAGTCAGGCTTCACAAGGCTATGCAAATCACAGTTTGGGGGGAAAAATGGGGGGGGGGGG